CAGCTCCCGGGGCGGCACCCTACCCCCAGCCCTGGCCGCTAAGCATCAGGACTAACCTCCTGTGGGTGTCCCCAGCGGTACCCCGACACAGGCCACACGCTCCCTAAGTTCTTGTTTCTTGTTACCAAATCATCACACGGAACAGGACTTCCGGAGCGCGGGCCGCCCCCCACCGCCCGCCCGAATGGGGCCGTGGCTGCGAGACTGAGCGCGTCGGCTGGTGGGGCCGCGGGCCGTAGGGCACCCACATTGGCAAGGGAGAAGTGCCGGAACCCAGACGCAGGACACGCCGGCTCGGTCTCTGCCGCGATCCTGGGCAGCCCCGCGCCCCCGGACAGCCCCGCGCGCCCCCGCACTCCACGGCTCCGAGCGTCCCCTGCTCGGCTAGGTCAGCGCGCAGTCTGAGCAGCACACACACTGGCACGCGCAAAGGGGAGCCGAGCCCCGTGGAGGAAGGCCCCGTGGGGTGGCCGTGCGGATGCCTGCTCCGAGGGTCCCCTTCAGCGCAGAGGGATGCGGGGGCCAATGCCCAGGGGCAGGGGTGACTCGGGAGGGGCCTCGGATCCCCAGCCTGCGTGACACCGGCAGGAGCAGGGGCTGCGGTCCTGTCTTCCTGGGATCCGCGGAATCCGGCACAAGCCCTTCCTCCCTGCGGCCGGCCGGTGGCTCTCCACGGTGACCCTCGTTCCCGCCGCGGGTCGTCTCCAAGCCTCAGTGGAGGAGGGAAGACACACACACGCACCGTTTCACACACCCGGCTCCCTCCCTCGCCAGCCCCTCCTTGGGTCACCTCTGAAGACGGCTCCTCGCCGGGCACCCGTGGTCGCCCACGTCCTCTGAATCCGCTCTCACGGTAGAGATTGTGCAGTGCAGCCTGTGGGTGGCATCGTCCTCTCTGCAACGTCTCTAGAAGCAAGACTACACTTGGATGCCTCTGATGACAGGGCACTCACTCCTCCCCGGAACAGTCCATCCTACTTTTCCATAGTTCTGCTGCTCAGGGCGTCCTGGCCTTGGTTCTCTGCGGCTTCTGTCTCTGACTCAGCTCTGGACACAGGCGCCTCGCACAGGATGGAAGAGAGGGAGCCCCAAACCCACATGCTCTCACTCGCCCTGCCCTGGGAAAGTCTCTGTGCTTCGTGGACTGGGGGCACCTGAGGTGCAGACGGCGTGGCCATGGGAGGGCCTGAAGTCCTTGCAAAGTGCGTTTCCTCCCATCAGCGCGAGTCCTGTCGGGAGGAGCTGAGGCACCACTAAGTAGCCTCACGCGGGCCGGCTTGGCGACGGTCCCCAGCGCACGGCAGGCAGGGTGGCGCTCACACGCTGTCCCTCTGGCAGGTGATGGCGCGGGGTGAGCGAGCCCAGGCGTGGCTGGAGTTGGAAGACCTCCCGCCAGCAGGACATGGCGTCTGGGACGCAGGGAGCCGTGACCACGCAGAGCTCCACACACGCCGTCCCACTCCCATGACTCAGTGGCCACCTCCTGTCCTCGCACCAGCGACGACGCCCGAGTCAATGTGAAATAAACCAGCCATCAGTCCCACTGCCGTCCGCCGGTCACCGCTTCAGAACGGAGCGTCAACTTTCTTAGGGTGTCCTGTCCTCCTCCACCTGAGAGGGAGGCTAACCGCACCCCAGGCCCTGGAGTGGACACTGGTCAGCAGACGGTGTGCCCTGACAAGCATGTTAATCCACAGTGTTCACAACCTAATCTGGGAAAATCAGACCCAAAGGGGACCCTACGATCGTCCCACTGCTGGGGGAGCGGCACCCTCCTCCAGGGGAGGGGACCGGAAGGCCACCACATCCTGCAACCGGGGGGAGGCGTTCTAAGCCAACACCCCAACCTCTGACTCAGCGGGGTGGAGATGGGGAGAGCTGGTGCATCTGTGGGAAGCCCCGTTATCAGGACAGGAAGGATCCTAGTGCATTGTACCGGCCACAGGCAGCCAGCCGGACGCAGGCCTGGAGACGGCACGCTGCGATGAGGGAAGAGATTGTTTTTCTTAAATTCTGAGAAGATACTGCTGGTATAAATAAAGAAAATAAATGAATTTACGTGGATAAAACAGACAACATTTTGCACATTAGAAAGCACTGTGTGCACGAGGTAAACGTATTTCCAGTAAGAAAGAAGGAACAATGCTGCCATCCGTGTCAACCCACCTGTGGAACGTGTGACATGACTCCGTCCTCGCACCCGGGCCGGTGTGGCACACGCAGCCAGGGGCGGGGCTTTGTTCTAGAAGGAGAGCACGCGTGCGCCTGGGGGGTGCAGAGGGAGAGGGAGTCTCAAGCAGATTCCCGCTGAGCCTGAGCCGAAACCAAGAGTTGGGTGCTTGACTGAGTCCCACAGACGCCCCAACCGGGAAGTTCGTCACTCAGTCACATGTGTGGGGATACCTGGTCCCAGGTGCCTGCAGGAGACTCGTGAGATAGGTACCATGTAAAGTACTGTTAGTTTAAACATGTTGCTGAGCTAGAGCCGGGTGGGAGGCAAGCACCCAGCTTCTACCCCGCTAAGCCCGGGCAAGGGGCACGGAGAAACCACTGGGGAGAAACGTGCCCTGAGTGTAAACCCAGAGCTCCGTTTTGGAAATCCTTACGGAGAAGCACGAGAACGATGAACGCAGGAGACCATCGGCCTCCAGAACACAGAGAAGGAAACCGATGTCGTCCGAATTATAAACATGCAAACCTTGTTGAGTTTTAAAGCTGGGATCTTCGCCTGGGGTCCGAGCAGAGGTAGGACCAGGAGCTGCTGAGGCCAGCAGACACAGGGACGGCGGTGGCCGTGTTGATCCGTCGCGAAACCTGCCCGCCTGGGGCAGCGGCTCCCACCCGCCCCCTCCTCCGTGCGGAAGGCAGTGTGTGACGGGGGCGAACGGGGTCTCTTTCTGCGCAGAGACCTGGTCCGTGGTCTCATGGCTCCTCCCCAGGCGACCCTGGAAGGGCCACTCAACCTTTGCAAACAGAGCCTTCTTGTCAGTGAAGGAGAAAAAGCAAAGGAAACGGTATCAGATCTTAGATTCACTTAGGCAGGCGCGCGTAGGGCCCACAGCGTGGCGTGGGGCTCACGGGGAAATTACCACGATTCCCGTGACGCTCTGGGGCATGCACTCTTCCTCATTTTGCAGGCCCAGTAAAGAGTCGGGAACTATTCTGCCCGTGTCCACGGAGGGAGAGACTGGTCCGGCTGGACTTGACCCAGCACCTTCCAAAATACATGCTCCTTCCCACCTCACCTCCACGTCCAGAAACCGAGAAATCGGGACAGAGGCTCCGGCGCTGGACGCCAGCACCGGGGGGCAAGGAACCCCCCCTCCCAGAGAACGAGCCCACGTGGTTCTGGGGATTCTCGGATTCGGGGGCCCTTGGGTGACCTCTCCCTCCTGCACGAGGAGACCCCAGCTCTCCAGGAGGACCTGGCGTACGGGCTAGCCTGTTACGCACATCACTGGGCGGTCACCACCACGACCACACTCATCCTCGCCACCCCTGCCCACGAGACGTCCTCGTTGTCTCCATCCTGCGTTACTGGAAGCACTTCCAGAGAACGTGCCGGGCACACGGCCTGCCGTGTCCTCTCCAGACTTCACGTCCTCCCTTCCACAGACTGTCCCCCTGGCCTTCTCCTTCCTCCTTGCAGCCTCAGGTACCAAGGACTCTGCAAAGGGAGCAGCTACTTCCTCTGGGGGGATTTCTGGCTATGAAAGGCCTGGGGTCCCCGAGCCTTGCCGCCGGCTCTGGACACAAGGAAGGGAGAAGAGAGAACAGAACCACCCAGGACGGCTGCACCTTCGCTGCGTGGTGACGGGCACAGGATGAGTGGGTCCTGCGGCCTCCCTCCACCAGAGGCTCGGGCGGCCCCCGGGCTGCGCCACAGCCAGGGACGTGCTGGACACCTCACATCTTCCACGTCTTCTGGCAGCGTGACGTGCGCCCGAGGTAAGAACGTAAGGTTCAGCCGGGCCCACGAGGGCTGCGACGTGCACTCCGGGACCTCAGCTGTGCTCAGGATCTGAGCAGCCGACCACGACGACGTCTTCAAGCAGGTGCGGTGATTGGGAGCCGGTGATGGGTGCCCCTGACCCTCCCACACCCGCCTGCAGCAAGCAGGTTCCCGTGAACTTCAGAACCGATTCCGGACGTGCTGGCCCACTCGAGAGGAGGGTCTCCCAGCATCTGAGGGCGACGTCCCCATGTGGACCCCACGGGTGGCAAGTGACGCTCAACCCTTGCAGGGAGGCCCACCGACCGCAGGGACAGCCGGTGCAGCGGCCGGGAGAGCAGCCAGAGGCCCAGGATCGTCCCACTCCAAGCACGCGTGTCGGAGGGAGCGGGCGGTCTTCTGCGGCTGCGCCCACTGCCTTAAGGTCACAGATGCGAAGCCGGACGAGCCCGGTGCTGTCGGGGTCTAAGTCCTCTCCCTGACGCATCAGTGCGTGGATTTCCTGCCTCTGGCTTGTAGGGTGGCCTCCTCGTAAAGGGGACCCTGCCCGTCGTGACAACGAGGACAGAAACACCTTGTCCTGATGCATTCGACCGTGTGAGTGATACACCTGCTGCCCCAAGAAGGGGTGTCCTGTCTTCTCCCCGCAATCACTAAGACGCAGAGGAAGGGCCACCGAGTGTGCCTTAACGTGACGACGTCCCGGTGACGGCGGGTTACTCCCTTGCGCTGTCTGCAGAGAACAGTCTGTGGCAGCCTTGCCCATCAGGAGTGCGGGCGTGCGGTCCCTGGAGCCCTGCGGAGGGAAGCGGGGGCTCTCCACGCACACGGCACACGGGATGGCAGAGACGCACAGAACCTCAATCCTCCCTGTCATGACCCTGTCCCCAGTGAAACACATGGAGTGGGACGGTTGCTAGGACCTGGTCAACCAGGCGAGCACACTCAACGTTGAAAGATCCCTTTCCCTCTGGAACAAGTGTCTGCACACGGAATTACAAGGCCAGACATCCACAGGGCTTTCCCCTTAAAGCTGGGAGTCACTTACCCTGGTTCTCTGAACTTCCATGAAGGTAGCTCTTTGGAAAGACCTCTCCCACGCGGCCAGCTCTGTCGCCAGCTCCACACTGAAGAGGCGACTCTGGCCGTGGCCGACCTGGATGCTGAAGCAGAAGGGCCCCGGGTCGTCGAGGCCAAAGTCCGCGTGCAGCCAGCGGTCCTCTGAGAGCCGCAACTGGAAAACAGAGCAGGTGGCATGTTAGCACGGGGCAGGGATTCCCAGGAAGGGCTGGGCCCCACGCTGCACATGTCCCGGAGCTGCCAGCCCACAGGAGACTGCTGTGACTGCTGTGACCCCAGCGGCCGCACCTGAGGGCATGTGCAGGAACAGGATGTCCTCTGACACGGCTCCTGGGCAAATGGGCCCCAGGTAACCATGATTTTAAGCAAATTATGGCCAAAAGCACCTTTCACTTAAAATTCTAGTAACCACGGTTTCTGCTTCAGTGTTTCCCTCAAAAGGTTTGTTAGGTTCTTTATGGAACTTACAAGACAGGCGGGAGACCTCCATGCTGTGGTTCGGGACCAAACCACTGAGCAATGAAAATGGCACAGGTGCCTCCCCATGTCCCCATCAACCCCCAGGGCCCCACAGCCACTCCCACTGCCTAGTTCGGTCCTGAGTGAGAGGCCTCTGTGCACAACACCTTGGAGGCCACAGGGCCAGGACCCTCACTTGGGATTGGCCAGTGTTAACCCAGTGGCCCTGACCACGTAGAATGAACGCTTTAGAAACCTCTTCAACAGCAAAGGTCAGATTTCCTTATACCACACACAAAAATAGACTCAAAATGGACAAAAGACCTCAATGTGAGACAGGAATCTGTCCAAATCCTTGAAGAGAACACAGGCAGCAACCTCTTTGACCTCAGCTGCAATAATTTCTTCCTAGAAACATTGCCAAAGGCAAGGGAAGCAAGGGCAAAAATGAACTATTGGGACTTTATCAAGATCAAAAGCTTTTGCATGGGGCACCTGGGTGGCTCAGTGGGTTAAAGCCTCTGCCTTCGGCTCAGGTCATGATCTCAGAGTCCTGGGATCGAGCCCCGCATTGGGCTCTCTGCTCAGCAGGGAGCCTGCCTCCACCTCTCTCTCTGCCTGCCTCTCTAACTACTTGTGATCTCTGTCAAATAAATAAATAAAATCTTAAAAAAAAAAAAAGGTTTGCACAGCAAAGGAAACAGTCATCAAAACCAAAATACAACCAACAGAATAGGAGAAGATATTTGCAAATGACATATCAGATAAAGGGCTGGTATCCAAAATCTATAAAGAACATAACAAACTCATCAAATAATCCAATCAAGAAATGGGCAGAGGACATGAACAGACATTTCTTCAAAGAAGACATCCAGATGGCCAACAGACACATGAAAAAATGCTCCATATCACTCGGCATCAGGGAGATACAAATCAAAACCACAATGAGACACCACCTCACACCAGTCAGAATGGCTAAAATTAACAAGTCAGGAAATGACAGATGCTGGCGAGGATGCGGAGAAAGGGGAACCCTCCTACACTGTTGGTGGGAATGCAAGCTGGTGCAGCCACTCTGGAAAACAGCATGGAGGTTCCTCAAAATGTTGAAAATAGAACTACCCTATGACCCAGCAATTGCACTACTGGGTATTTACCCTAAAGATACAAACGTAGTGATCTGAAGGGGCACATGCACCCGAATGTTTATAGCAGCAATGTCTACAATAGCCAAACTATGGAAAGAACCTAGATGTCCATCAACAGACGAATGGATAAAGAAGATGTGGTGTATATACACAATGGAATACTATGCAGCCATCAACAGAAATGAAATCTTGCCATTTGCGATGATGTGGATGGAACTAGGGGGTATCATGCTTAGCGAAATAAGTCAATCGGAGAAAGACAACTATCATATGATCTCCCTGATATGAGGGAGAGGAGATGCAACATGGGGTGTTAAGGGGGTAGGAGAAGAGTAAATGAAGCAAGATGGGATTGGGAGGGAGACAAACCATAAGAGACTCTTAATCTCACAAAACAAACTGAAGGTTGCTGGGGGGAGGGGGGTTGGGAGAGGGGGGTGGGGTTATGGACATTGGGGAGGGTATGTGCTATGGTGAGTGCTGTGAAGTGTGTAAACCTGGCGATTCACAGACCTGTACCCCTAGGGATAAAAGTATATTATATGTTTAAAAAAAATAAATAAATGAAAATTAAAAAAAAAAAAAGTCTGGAAATGATGGAGGAATACATATAGATCAATGAACCAGACAGAGAACCCAGAAATTGGCCTGTCCAAAATGTCAACTAAATTTTGACAAAGATACACAAATAATTCAATGGAAAAAGTATAGCTTTTTCAAAAATGATGCTAGAAAAATGGGCATCCGGAGGCAAATAAAAACTAAGGTCAACCTAAATTTCACAGGAACATACAGAAATGAACTCAAGTTGAATGGTACTTATATGTAAGCCACAGACCCTAAAACTTTTTGAAAAAAAAAATGGTAGCAAATCTTCAGGATCCAAGACAGGCAAAGAAAACATGATCATAAATGGAAAAATTAATAAATTGGACCTTGACATTCACAGCTTTTGTTCTGAGAAAAGCCAGATAAAGATGATAATGTAAGAGAGTAAAGGAAGAACATACAAAGAATTCCTCAAACTCAACCATGAGCAAAAACCCAATCAGAAGTGGCCAGCAATCATGATCAGACACTCACAGAAGGGGAGATGCAGATAACGGACTAGCTCATGAACACTTCCAACATTGTCAGCCGTCAATGAAATACAGGTGACAATGGACACAAAGGATCACTCCAGACCAACAGGAATGACAAAAGTATTGAAAGTGCCAGTATCAGGGAAGGCGTGGAGAAACCGGATCACTCAGAGCTCACTGGTGGAGATGGAAGGTGGTGCAGCCACTCGGGAAAGCAGTTGGACATTTTCTTATAACTGTGCATGTGGCAGCCATGACCCAACAGCTGGACCCCTGGGTATTTATGCCACAGAAGCGGAGACTCGTGCTCACACAAAAACCAGTAAACATACACTTACAGCAGCTTTATTTGTTACGACCCAAACTTGGAAGAATGCAAACGCTCTTCAGGGTGGATGGACAAACCCTTGCCCACACGGCCACAGAGTACTACTCCGTGCACCAACTTGGATGATCTCCGGGAAGGATCCTGAAGGAGGAGAGGCCGCACCGAAGCCCGGCTGCAGATGGCTCGGCCGTGCAATGCCGGCGACCGCACTGAGCCGGCACCGCGGAAAGGAGGACGCTGACGGTGGTGGGACTCGGCTACAAGGGCTGAGGTGGGAATGGCTCCATGGGGCAACTTGGGGATGTCGTGGGAATGTCCCCTGGGCATATGCCGGTGTGACATCAGGCCAGTCCCGGCGGATGTTACCCTGGGGGGAGCTTGGTAAACATAAACTTCTCTGCATTATTTTTCAAAACTCCATGTGACTCAACAATCATCTCAAAATAAAAGAAACTTAATTAGGAAAAAACCAAAAGAGTCTCTGGGTGGGTGTGAAGGTCACGTGTTGAGTGCTCACGCCGGCCCTTTAAGACAGTCTGCGATCGATAACGAGGCTTCCTCGACCTCTCCCGCACCACTCCTGCAAGGAACTCAGACTGTATTTTAAAACATAATGTTCTTACACACAGAATTTATCTTTTATTTTTGTTTTTGTGGTTATTCACGGGAAAAGCGTTTGCAGAACCGAAAATAGAGGAGAACGGACCTTCCGTTACTAATACTTCCCCACGGCTCCTCCGAGACGGCAGTTTGGCCGCGTCCGGGGATCTGACTGACACGAGCGCAGCCTCATTCCCAACGAGAAGCCCGGCAGACGGCAGGCGCCCGCCTCCGGGAGGCAGGGTGACCCCTGCGAGCCACACAAACCCCAAATTATACCGGCAAAGGGAAACAGGAAGTAGCTACAACAGATTTGAAGCAGAAAATCGAACCCCCCCTCGGTGACGCGGGAACCACCTCGCTGTGCGTGAGCCCCACGTTCAGAGAGGGGGTGGGGGAGGCCGTCCCGCTGGGTGCAGGGACCCCTCTTCTTCCCGACGCACCCCACCCCCCTCAGCAGGGCTTCGGGTCGACCGGCCTTTCGGGCCCCACCCCGCCGCAGCTCCCTGCTTCTGTTCCGACGGCCGACCGGCCACAACCACGGTTCCAGGGTCACGTTTTGCACTTGAGCTAACATTCTTCGGAGCATCGGAGAGACATGAAGAACTTAAAGGAAAGGGAGCACATTCGTAAAACACACGGTGATCGATGATTTCATCAAACATCTGTTGACATGACAGCGTCGGGAAGAGGTTCCTATGAACGGTGGTCTTTGGCTTTGGGTTACTCTGCTTTCTTTTCTTGCTGTTTGTTTTCAGTTCGTTGTACAGTTTGTGATAATGAGTAACCGGCAAGATGTTCTGAAGCAGCAAAAAGGTGTTTTATCACGATGCCAAGACGGAAATTTAGGAAAGACAAGTTTCTGCCGTCGTTCCCATCACGAAGGCCTCAAAGTCATCGGTTCCCCTCAAATGTAACGTTTTTTTACCTGAGCCGGACGGACCAGAGAAGTAACAGGCTTTACTGTTTATTACCTACTGCCAGGTCTGACGTGTCAGGGCTGAGGCGTCGGCTGGAGCGGTCCCTCCGCTTCTTGGCCGGCGGGTGCCCGGAGTGAGCTCACCAGGGGCCTCCAGGAGAGGGAAGGGAGATGTGCTCTCCTCTGCTCTGCCCGTCAGGAAGGGCGGCCGTGTTTCACCCACCTCCTCACTCCGTCTTCTGCTGCTCGTCAAGTCGGTAGTGAACCGTTTTCTAAGACTATTTCGTCCATGCAGTTCTTTTCTCATTGGTCGCTATCATAAAATAAGATAAAATCGTTTTGCTTTATATAATCTTGGACCAAAAATATAATAAAATCTCAATATGAAGACAACGAACCCTCTGATTATAATGAAGGAATAAAGTTGTATTATAATCCTAAGAATCACACCGTCCGCCGCTCTCTGAGGCGTCCGTATGGGCCGTCTGGGCGTGCACGGTCCCTGCCTGCAGGAGTCCAGGGACTGTGGCTTCATGACGTGGCACCAGCGCCCATACACAGTCCAGAGCCACGTCCCACGGTGCATTCGGTGGAATGACCCGGGAACCATGAACGTTGTGGCCAGCTCCTCAGTCCTCAGACCAGGACGTGAAATACAGACGCCTCCTCGGGGGGTTTGCCGTTCGTGCACAGCTGCGCGGTGCCCTTGCTCCCGGTGACAAGCGCACACGTCAGCTTATGAAGACGGGGTCAGGAGGAGGTGACCGTGGAGCGTGGACCGAGCGTGGGCAAAGGAGCGGAAGTGCAGCCTCGGGAGAGGTTCTGCGGTGCACCGTGACATGTCCCCAGCTGGACACAGGATGTGCGGCTGCCGTGGGGACGGGCGGTTCTGTGGATGCCGGCAGTGGCTGTCAGCGAGGAGGAGCCCGTGGAGAAGAACCGGCAGATGGGACGAGGGAGGATGTCCAGGCCGCCAGCGCGCTGTAGACAGGAAGGTCGCAGGAAAGACAGGACCACGAGGCTTACAGAGGGCAGACCATTCAGAACGGCTCCGGGCCGGTGTCCTAGAGACAGCGCTCAGGATCCTGCTGGAGACCATTCACAGAGACCAACGTCCTGTGTCCTGAAGGCCTTTGAGAAGAAACGTTATGTACGTATACAAGGCTGTGTGTATGCGTGAGAGTGAAAATCCACATGCATGCATTTCTACACACATCTGTGCACGGAAACTGTGTACGTAGGGACATAAAGTGTCACAGGGGCACACATTAGTCTGCGTCTGCATGCATAGCGTTACAGGCTCATATAGAGAAAGGCCCATTTTAACCTTCCAAATGTGATGACAGACAGATGACTGACAGATGGTAGATGGATGATAAATATTTTCACATTTACTCTTCAAAACCTTTCTGTTCTCTACACATGCCATAAAAAAAGACCACAGGCTTAAGGTGTTATCATAAATAAAGAATAAATGGTTTTTATACAAAAACTGTAGTGATCTTTCACAAATCAATTCTGAAAAGTCATACTACTGGGGCGCCGCGTGGCTCAGTGGGTTAAGCTTCTGCCTTCAGCTCGGGTCACGATCTCGGGGTCCTCTGATGGAGCGCCAGGTCAGGCTCTGCTCGGCGGGGAGCCTGCTTCTCCCCCTGCCTGCCGCTCTGCCTACTTGTGCATGCTCCCTCGCTCTCTGTCAAATAAGTAAATAAAATCTTAAAAAAGTAAAAGACATCCTACTTATGTAGATACATTGGCAAAAAATACAAATAAGAAGTTCACAAAAATGAATTATCAATGGGGACTTCGTCCAGTGTCACTGTGGATCGAGAAGACGCTAACTCTGCTCGGGGGGAGCCCTTACTTCGAGGAGGGGGAGTCGTTGTCTGTGACCTCGGGGGACGCAGAAGGGCACTGGGAATTCACACCGCAACACTCTGCATCCGGTAAAGCTGAAGAATCGCATTTCAAGTCGCCTGGCGTGTCCCCCGTCGTCCCGCCTCTGATGTTCTCCCGCGCGTGCTTGGGACGTGGCTGTGGAGCCGTCATGGGGGTTCGGTGGGGGTCGCTCACTCAGTCAGATACAGTCCGGATCGGTCTGGCCTGAGCAGGGTGCGTCCCCACCATCAGGACCGGAGACACAAAAGTCGGTGGTGTGGCCAGAATTGAGCACAAGTTTCCGCCTTCGGGACAGCTCAGCTCGGGCAAGTCAGGAGTGCGGTGAGAAGCCTTATGTGGTCTCTGGCTCACTCATGTTGCTGGCTGACGGGGATGTTGCAGACCCTCCCCGAGAAAGTTGCACGGGAGGATAAAGACACACGTTTGCTTTCACGCCGAGGAGCTCATTGAGCAGGGGGACAAGGAATCCATTTTCTTAGCTGTTTCTGGGCCTTTACGACGCAAGCGACTCACTTAGGGAACAATGACCTTCACCTGCCCTGGGACAGAGCCGTGAAACACGGTCGGAGAAGAAGTCCGGACACAAACATGTTTCTGTGCGGTGGGGTCTGTCCTGCACTCCCGCCGAGCGCTGGGGGCCGGTCTGGCCTTGCTCTCGCCTGGTGTGCTCGCCCCGATGGCAGCCCCGTCCAGGAGCCAGCGTCCCTCCTCGTCGGCCTCCCACCGGCCGGCTCTTCCCGAGGGCCCCTCGGAGGCCTAGGGGATCCCCTTCTCTTCCTCGTTTCCGCCTGTTCTGCATCTGTGCCCATGACTGCCCAGTTCGTCTCCGTGAGCTGTTGCTGTGACGTGTTCTGTTACCTCGAATGCCACATCAGTGGACCGGCCATCTGTGCGGCGCTGGGCTCCGCGGGGCGGCACTCCAGTAAGCCGCAGCATCCCTGGTCCTGGGGCAGGTGCTGCCAGCCCTTCTGGAAGCCTCTGATCGGGGAGGTGTGCTGAGCCAGAGCTGGGCAGGGGCCCGGCTCTTCCGGTGCTGGAGGGCTCTGTGTGGAGGTGCTCTCTCTCTGCTCTGTGTTCAGCGGATTCACGGGGAGCCCCTGGCCTGGTGCACTTGCCCAGAATTCCCAGGGATGCATCCTGGGGCCCATACACTTCCCCATAGGCCCAGAGTCTGGCCCCTCTCTAGAAGCACAGTGCGCGGCCAGATCAGGCCTCCAGGTGGCTGTCCCCGGCCTGGCGTCCAGGTCCTGTTGCGCACACCAGTCTCGCCAACCTGTGGGCTGGCCGCTGGGGATGCCACTCCCAACAGGCTGCTGTAGGCCATGGTGTCCTACTGCCAAGCAACCACCCTGCTTCTGGGGAGTTGGGCGGCCCCGCTCCTGGTTAGGGGGCCTGGTGTCAGCTTCCGTGTCAGCCCCCACGAGGACCTCCACCCCGCCTGGACCCACCTGACTTCGGGCTCTTCTGAGTGGGAACAGTGACATCCCCAGTGCCGACCCCAGTTGGCACAGGGGGCTGTCCCGGGGGACAGGGGAACAACAGGGTGAGGGCCCTGGGGCCTGGACCTCCTGTCTCCGGATGGCTTGGGGCCAGACCCTCAGCTGCTCTCCACACCACACCGATTGCTGCCCACAGTCCTGACCTGGAGAAAGCGGTCACATCCAGCACAGGCCACGCTCCTGGGCCCCACAGCCGCTAGCTCCAGAGGGTCTGGCCTGAGTCCTCTCGAGGCTGCACTGACCACCACCCGGGGTTCTGGACACGCAGCCAGCATCTCGCCCACTGTGGACCCCCAAACCTGGGGGTGCTCTGACCACAGCAGAGCTGTGCTCACTCACACGGACCTCTTCCAGGTCAACCCGTGGACAGGCCAGAACACCTCCAACACTGCGTGTGCCCGCAAGCCCCGTCCCACCAAGCCCTGTTGCCCACCCGCAGGAAGGTGGCCTGGCCTTTGTGGAAGCATGTCTCGGGCTGGTGGGGCAGCTGGTGAGACACTCTGCATGGATGGGGGCCTGGTGGGGCAGCTGGTAGCCGCTCTGCTTGGATGGGGGCTTGGCTCCTGAAAGGGTCTCGTGATAATGCCACCCCGGGCAGTCAGCTCATGTTTCTTCTCTTAAAAGGTGAAATCATCCTTTTATCTCTTTGGTTATAATCCATGAGGCTCCTCTGCTTGTTAAGCTTTAAGGAAAAGAGTAAAGTCTCTTGCCTCTATTGTATTGTCAATACGAATTTCAGAAGAAAAATAAGAACAATATAACTACTGCATTAAGATTTCATGATCCTGTTATGGCTACAGGTAATAGAGGCTCAAGTTTCCCGACTCCTCCAAGTGACAACAGCAAATGGGGCACTTTCTTTATTCCAGGAAATACGACACTTTCCAGGGGACACTAACCACAATTTGTGAGATAACAACTTGTGTAGAAGAGCCCATCTCTGTGTGGACAACGGCATCAGTACACAGTGTAGACGATGAGCGAAGACACTTGTGCTATCAGTCATTTCCTAAAACCCGCTTCATTATCTCGTGACCATGAGGTGAAGGGGGAGTAAATTCTCTGTGAGAAATATCGGTGGTAATGACCCACCACGGCAGTCCCTCGGGGCAGCGTCTCAGCATCCAGAGAACATAGAGGTTGGCCTCAAGAGTGCCCGTGTGTCCCCCGAGGGCGTCCCAGCAGGCAGCAGATGGCCTCCTACACGGTAACGTCTGGCGCTTCTCATTGCTTAAGCATTTCTGTAACAAAGGCAATGAAACAGAATCCAGTAGAAGTTTACAAGATTGTTTTCCAGAAGCTCACATTGTGTTCTCCTGGGATTGGACGGCCTATTCATTCATTCCAGCCCTGGCCTCTGTGAGCGCCGGTCGGGTGGCTGATGATGTGGGTCCACACGTGTCACAATCTTGTGGGCATTTCCGGTGCATCTGTCCGTCGATACAATGTGAAACGTGTCCATGCAGAGTTTCAGGGTATTAGGTCATTTAATTATTAGTCCTGGGGCATGAATTTAATTGTATCTCTTTCCAAGGACATGTAAGAAGACATAGTTTATGCAGGGGAACGTGACGCGCAGGGAGTGTCCAGACGGCTCGGGGGTCTGCCACCTCAGGCTCCCAGACCTGTACTCTTCCTACACCCACCAGCCCGTTCGAGCAGGGACCGAGGCGCTCGCTCCAGGCATGCCGTCCCCAGAGCGCCTGCCTGCAGCATCCTCACACTCCCAGGGGCTCACGCGTTGGCGGGCGGCTTGCGATGCCCACCTACTGCCTCAAGCACATTAAAATCCATGGAGTTACAACGAGTCTTATTATTATAAATGCATGAGCTATGCACATTTCTGACCGTTGGCAATGCATGCCCCATGCTCATAACCAGATCAGCTCTCAAATTCCCGTCAGAACTTCTTACTTCCCTCTTTCCGTATGCCCAACAGAGACGGCCTATCTCAGATGTGCTTTATTTCCATGCGGCAAAGCCTGAAGGCCGTGATCCACTGATACGAATTACACTGTATCACGATCTGGAGTTCACTTTTCCACACTCTAAATGAAGACTTAAAAAATCACAGCATCCAGTCTGACAGGCAAGAATTCATTTCTTAAGTCAGTAACACCAGCCCCAGCCTCCGCAGAGGGAAGAGTGTGGATGAAGTGCTGGGGTTTACCGACGGAATTCAAATCCGGTCCAAAGAAATCTCACCCAAGCGCATGGCCAGGCAGCAGGGGAACAAAAACGAGCCTCGTGGCAAACAGCGTGGTGGACACCCAGAGCCAGCATCTGCTGGGGCGCCGACTCGAGGCCTCGGGGCGGTTGTCGGGGCGTGTCGGCACACACCGGCTGTACTGCAAACCGCACTTGGATCATCGGATTCTAAACTCACGGCCGTCCTGGAATGGACGGACTGAGGAGCGGGCAGAGGGGCTACCTCAGGGACCCCTCCCCACCCCATGGGTCCGGGGGACCGTCACCTTGTAGCCCACACCTGCCAGGTCCTCTTACACCTGCTCTGCCGGGTCTCCAAGTGGCCTAGTCCCTCCCGTCCTCCTTGAAGCTCACGTACCAGCCCTTCCTGCTCACGCCCACGAGCTGGCCTCCCCGGTGGGGTCTGGCAGGAGCCCCCAAGGCACAGCTCCGAGAGTTACCACACTTCGAAGGACGCACTTTTTCCCGCTGGAGTGAAACCAAACTCGTGGCATGGCCAGTAAGACTTCTGTGATTTGAAGACAATGTTCGTGTATTTTCCTGGGATATTTCCAGTCTCTTACACAGCAGATGATTGGGCAACAACCAGGATGGTCTGCTTTCAAGACCTCTCTCTGCACCCGCCTTGCCCCTGCCCTGCACCCCACTCGCAGGCCCCTGGGTCCTGTGCCCGCCCCTGCCCTGTGCCCCACTCACAGCTCCCTGGGTCCTGTGTCCCACTCATAACCTGCCCAGGTCCTCTCCTATCCTCAGCTCTGCGAGTGCTGATGCCCCGTAAGGACTTCCTGTCTTTACCCCGACCAGGCTCTGAACCCACTGTAAGTAAAAAGTGATGGGGCATGTCCAGCTGTGAAAAGGACAGAATGACAAACACATTCATCAACATGGACAAACAACAATCCCAAAAATAAGGGGTGAATAAGCAAGTCACCCAAAACACAGAATTATCCCATGCGTTTGATGTTCGAAACCATTTTTAATGACATAAACTACCTATGAGTTTATACATATGCATTAAAAGTGAGTATACACACGTCCAGTGAAAGCCATAGGTCCAGGGCCATGGGGAGTGGAGTCAGGGTGGGTTAAACAAAGGGCTTTAGGTCCTGAAATAAATCCTTGTTTGTAATTACTCGGGATTCAAAGAAAAGAGGCAAAACCAGGAATGTTGCTTCACTCTTTAGAGTTATTGAAAGGAAAGGGAGCACAGAAGAGATGCCAGCATTCCAGAGGCTCCTGGAGAGCTCCGAAGAGTTCTGGAGGGTTCTGGGGCGTTCTGAGGGGTCTCTGGAGAGTTCTGGAATGTGTGCTGGAGGATTCTGGGAAGGGATTTCTGGAAGGTTCTAGAGCATTCTGGAGCCTTCCAGAGGGATCTGGTGGGTTCTGGACAGTTCCAGAGAGTTCCAGAGGGATTTGGAGTGTTCAGGAGAGTTACAGAGGGTT